ATTAAGATTATTCTGACTTAGAATGAAACCAGACATGCTTTTATTGGAACGGATTGCATAGTTCCTTGGTGTGATAAATATTATTATTCTGACTTAGAATGAAACCAGATGTGATAAATATTAAGATATTCTGACTTAGGGCATGTTTGGTTCCCCCTTGCTACAGTTTAGCTACTAAACTTTTATCACTTTAGCTACTAAACTATCAAACAAACTGACTAAAAAGGGACTAAAGTAGCTAAAAGAAGGCTAAACTTTAGCAGGAGAAACCAAACAGGCCCTTAGAATCAAACCAGAAATGCTTTTATTGGAATAGAGGGAGTATAACACAACTAATAGCAAGGTGGAACAGAAATAGCACCTCTAGTATAGCTATATTGGCAGTGCTAGATGCCACCCCTCTCACCCGAACCGAGCTCTCTTTTTCCAAGCCGAAGCAAAAGCCTTCCAAACGAAGAACCTGTGGAACCAAAAAGAGGAACATGGTCCAAAAATTATCTAGCCAAGCTCAGTGTTAAAAAAATACTGTTATGTGACGGATAATATAAGTACAGAAAACAATAGGAAGTATGATTTCAATCTGCATATTAATTAGTAATGAATTGAAAAAAAAGAGCAAAAGGATAATTGTACATGCGCAGCATGTGTTCAGCAGGCAAACAACGAGAAAGCACTTGCAATAAACCAGGAAGCGAAATGTGGCAGAACTACCCACATTCCTAGAGGAATATTGCTCGTGACATCGACTGATGTCAATATGATCATTGGAATATCGAAAAGAGGGGCAAACCAAAAGCACTGACCAGGACTAGAAATGCCATATGCTCCAGCGATGCCCCCAAGGAAAGAATATCAAAGATGTTCGCCTCATCGCCTCAATTTGATTTACTTTAACCACAGATTTCCTTCAAACAAATCCAACCATTAGCACAAAGCATCAGCGCACATAATACATGTACAGCTAAAAACATAGTGCAAATTTGCATTAGATACCATATCAAGAATGAATCCTTCAGGTGCCTCCTCGCTGCCTGTGAACTGCAAGAGCATCACATAACCATTAGAGTAGACTAGTTGCTCAAAGAGCATCCCTGAACAGTAACCATCACTAAGCGTAAGATAGTCGCCGCCACGATAGTTTATTTTCATACTCAGGCAGCATATGTTCTGTGAAAGCCACAGAAAGCTTCTTTGCTGCACAAGGAATATCTAGATTCGGATGCCGCCAATGTGAATAAGAAAAAAAAAAGATTTAGGTGGATTGAAGAGAAATGCATATTGACGAAAAGCATAGCTCACCGGAAATATGCAGGCAACTTGAGGATGAATACATGCCAGGTCACCGAGAAAAGAATCAATGCCGAGGAGATAGTTTGAGATCGAGAATCTCATGGTGTTTGGACAAAGACTCCATTCAATAAATGAGTAGCTTGTGCAACTGGGTTGCCCTATTCATGACTGATTTTAATTGGTTGCTACTCTGCTTTTTATCGCTCCAATGACCAAGATTGGACAAGAAACTAATTGAGTACTGGTGTACCCATGACAATAGACAAGGTTTCTAGACCCAAACTGTATGATCCTGTTACAGTTGTGTCGGACCATTTTGAGCAGCCAATGTCATACTAACTCCTAGTAAACACTGTTCAAAATTGTGCAGTCATATGACAAAGCTACTAAACTACAGAAGGCCAAACTTAGCTCATCGGAAATCAAGCAGTCTGGGTTTGGCCCCCTAAACGCTGCTTGGCAGGTCAATATAAGGAGCAACTTAGCCACACATGTAGATGCACACTCCACCAGTCCACCAGAACTCGTATGATATAAATTATTCAAACTTGTTTCGTTCTGAAAAGTGGTGGGTGCTAGGTTGATGACGAGGTGGTTCCTAACACATATAATAGCCATGATAAGTTGGCACACAGGCAGGGTATCTGCAAATTAGGTGCTAGGGGGACGGATGAACGTAGAGGCCAGGTATCAACTAGGTGGCTGTCCTGAATGGTTAACTGGGTGTATAACTTGTACATCCACGCATTCTTCTATTTCGTTGCCCTCCATGACAAACCAGATAAGATCACTTCTTGACTTTTTCTGATAATTATTTGCTTTTTTTACAGGTCTTTGCAGCTCTAAAGATGAGTGCCAAGTTATCTACAAGTACAGATCTTTCACATAGGAAATAATAACTTAATCTAATGATAGGATGCTAAAGTTTATAAGATTAAGATCATATAACTGTTTGCATTTTGTTTAGTCTTCACTCATTGTGCTACATGGTTCCTACAGGCAGGAATAACAATCATATATTCCTGTGACAAGCCATTTATCAGACAATTCAAATGCATAATACACGCAAGATAGACTAGTATTTCCTATAATCTATCAGGTTTAGCTTTCTTTCTTTTTTCAAAAAGGAAAACACCAAATTTCCAGGGACCAATTAACACTCTTGTACCCTTCCTTTCTTCTGCCCATGTACATGAGATATCTTGTGGTTTAAGAAAATAGCCATTGAATAAGAATTAATCGGTATAGTATGCTGGTTCATTGCTTATATTTCCTATAACCTAGCATGCTTAACTTTCTTGTTTACAAAAATAAAAAATGATGCATAAATATATTTTTTCTAAGAAACCAGTTTTTGAATAACAATTAGCATGTACACTATGCTGGCCATGACTCCTTAGTTCAAGCAACTCCGGCACAAGCCTTTGTGCCTGCTACTGAACCAGTAAGGCTCTAGGCTTACAGAGAATTGTAGAGGCAACTCATGTAAAAGAAGTTTGTAGAAACTAGAGCAGAAAGCTTCATGTTATATGTAACTTACAATTCTAGAACTGCTATCAGGACCAATCTTTACAGCTGAATATGCCCCCACAAGTGATGCTGCTTTGTTAAAGATGAAGGGTACAGGATGATGCTTTAGATTCTTCTATCGAAGACTTCTTTATATGCTGATAGCTAGACAGCCCACCCTCCATTTCAAACAGCATGTGCTATCTGATAAGTACATGTTGCTAGAAAAATAGAAGTACAGCGCATGGAAAAATAAGATAAATTACGAGATGAGTAAAAAAAGTATACTCCAGCAAGTAAAATAAATTTCGTGCTCAAGTCATCAACACAAACTCAGTAAAAACAATGATGTCGCAAATGGTATAATCAATAGGTCTTAGTGTCACAAATATCATGAGAAAATTACCAAACATTCCAAATTGGCCCATTCTTCCAAAAACTTCATGAGGTTTCTAATCTATTGAAAAAAACTAATAGAATAGGGAAGTTATGGTTACAACTTACAATTCCCCATGACTATAGAAGAAGCTCTAAATGGGAAGGGACACAGCAATAAGTTCCTGGAATTCCTTTTCTTAAGTGAAGAACTTGAATATGTCAGTTTAAAATTCTTACTACTGTTCTTCAATGTCAACATATGTTATTGGTGTGGTCCTAATGAGGCACTTCAACCAACCAAATATTGTACGGAGGGATGGAGTAGAAACACAGCGAACCACCAGTTAAATTGAGTACATGAAACAAAAAGTCCTCAGTTCTCATGATATATAAGGAAAAGACTTACTCTTATTTCTTGTATATCTCAAGAACATATCAATAGAAACAAAAATTGCTGGTTTCAAGAAGATAATGGAACTAAGTACAGAAAAGCTACAAACAGTTCTCTTGACGACAGAACATGAATTGATAAAATTTGTATTGATGTTACTGTTTTTTAAAATTAAAAATGGGGAGGGCCTAGACTGGCCAACATTGACTACAAGTGTTTCAGTCCCTTAAAGCTAGGCAAGCTAAAGAAACATGATTGTAATGAACTGGTTATCTATGGTAGCAAAAGTCTGAAAGAGTAATGGTTGTGTTATTGTGTAACATATACAGAAACATAGTACGTAAGTACTCTTGCTTTGACTAGTGATGATTACAATCAAAGTGGTCTTGTTCAAAAGGAGCTTATCCCACATAAAGAGCATAAATCTCATGGCCGAAACTTTCCTGGACTGCAATGTGAATATGTACCAATCTTAGGAAAGGACGCTGATGGAACTTATTCTTGTTCATATTCCATGCACTTTAAAGTAATACAACGGACAGAATAAAATTGATAGAAAAACTATGTTTCTGTAAGTAGAATAGCGTCTCCAACAAGTATAACAACAAATGTCACCGTGTGGCTTAAACAAAATTAACCCAGACTGCATCTGATTCCACTATAAACAATAATAATTAAATCATGTACCGAAGTGCAGCAAGACTGAACCATTCGTAAACACCAGCAAAACTACCCCCAGCTGGCAGTATAGAGAAACTACTCAAATATTTTTCTCTGGTCATTCATGAGGCATAAATTCAGAAGTGCATCTTTCATAAACTGAACAGATCAGATAGCAGAATCATATTCCAGAAAGCTACGTAAAAGTATAATTTGCTTTATCTATAGTTGTTTGTATTTATCTCTACACATGGCACACACACTTCAAGTGTTTTAAATCAGTAAAATACACCTAGAAAAGTAAGGTGTGGTCATACATAGAAGTCACAGGTTGAAATTCAAAATGAAAATTTCGATTTTGGTTATTGATTCCAAAATTACTAAAGCTAGCATCTTCTCTTAGTAGGCTTAAAGTTTGTTCTTTTGATGTTTGTTCCAAGATGCTAGATTCTATGTTTTCCCATATAAAACGCACCTCATAAGGCACTCCTTATCAACCTGAGAAGGCCAAAAGGGTATCAAAAGGCTTAAGGTCGGACAAGAGGGCGTTTGAGTTTGTCAGCAGGAAACGCTCCAACACAAGTTCAGCCTTTGGGAACAGAGAAAAGAGGACACTAGAAAACACAGGCCCAGAAGGGTTAGCAAAATTCATACCCCCCCCCCCCCCATCTCATTGACCTAACTTCTTAGAAACTGCATGTTATTTCTACAGCAGATGTATCACCAACATCAGGGCCCGAGTGAGCTCTTCACCACGAGAACATCCTTTCCAATGGAGCAGCATCTGTTTTTGCGTGGAGGAAATGCCCAAGGAGATTCTGGGCTGGTTCTCTCAACTGACGCTAAACCAAGGCTGAAATGGACACCTGAGTTACATCAGCGATTTGTAGATGCAGTCAATCAATTAGGTGGAGCAGAGAGTAAGTATTATATTCTTATATCTTCTCAAAGTACAGAGACCAGCTGAATTCTTATATTTCTATTCATCGCCCAGAAGCTACTCCAAAAACAGTCATGAGGCTCATGGGAATTCCAGGACTCACCTTGTACCATTTGAAAAGCCATCTCCAGGTACTTTAGAATCAGAAATCCGCCTGCTAAAATGATATTTGTAACTGCTGCAGTAATCATCATTTCTTGGATGTTACAGAAGTACAGGCTTAGCAAGAACCTCCAAGCTCAAGCAAATGTCAGTACATCAAAGAATGGTAAGAACAAGTTGTAACTCCCATATTTACCCTATTATAATGGAACAGCATAAGAGTTAGCAACTTGTAACCGCTTTGCAGCCATATCCGTTGCTGATAGGATTCCCGGAACAAGCGCAGCAACAATGAGCAGTACAAATGTCATTCCGCAGGCAGAGAAGTAAGGACTCTGTTAGCACACTGTAATTGCATATAATCTGAATACTGAAATAATAGTCTCTTTTCCTGGGTGCAAGGACTATTCAAATTGGTGAAGCACTTCAGATGCAAATTGAGGTTCAGAGACAGCTAAATGAACAACTTGAGGTGAGTCACTGACACCACTAAGATAACACTCTTGTTACAGATTTTTTACATGGTAGATAAGGTAGGTTGAACAATGGGCTATCTCAAGCATTTTGGCTAGCACAGTCCCAAACTTCTGAAGAGCATAAGGGAAGACCACGATTCCAAATTACTACCTCGAGGATAAAATAATTTACAATCCGGATCTGATTCAGAACCAAACATTTACATTACGATGGCAAGGGTGTATAACTGTAGACCCAATATTTTTAGCCAAAAATATATAGTTAGTAGGTATAATACATATATACTCCCTCTGTTTCAAATTGTAAGTCGTTTTAGTTTTGTCCTAAGTTAAACTTGTCTAACTTTGACTAAGTTTATAGAAAAATGTACAAACATCTACATCATCAAACGAGATTCATTAAATGCACCATGAATATATTTTGATAGTATTACAGTGTATTTACTTGATACTGTAGATATTAATACATTTTTTCTACAAACCTGATCAAAGCTAAAAAAAGTTTTGACTTAGGACAAAGCTAAAATGACTTTCAATTTGGAACTGAGGGAGTACAAGCTAATTACCATTTTAGATTAAGCAATAAGATTGTTTGAGCTGAGTCAAGAGATGCACATAGCCATTAGTTATTACAGGGTGAAGAAACAAATAGTCTGTTAAAAAAACAAATATGAAAACAGATCTCTCAAACACCAATTCTATTATTGAACTTCTAAATGTTTGATGAAAATTCCCATTAATGCAAGTCCGCAATCTTCAACAGGTGGCATGCAGCCTTTATATGGTCCCTCCGTTCCAAATTATAGTTCATTTTAGCTTTGTCCTAAGTCAAACTTCTCTAACTTTGTCCAAGTTTATAGAAAAATGCATCAACATCTACAATATCAAATTAGTTTCATCAAATGCTCCATGAAATATATCTTGATAGTACATGTATTTGAACTTGTAGATGTTAATATATTTTTCTAAAAAGTCAGTGAAAGTAAGTTTGACTTAGGACAGAGCTAAAGTGAACTATGATTTGGAACGGGTGTAGTGTGTTCTTCCTCTTTCTGCAAGTTGTCCTCCTTGCACCTCCCGTGTTGTGGCAGCCTGCTGCCTCTTGTTGGCCCAAGTGCACTTGTGCACTCTGTCCGACACAGATAATGGCCATTGAATCAATTAGTGGTCTTGAAGCTGCATGCTTGAATAGCAAATCATTCTAGTCTGGTTTCTCTCACCTCTAGGCTTCTTTCTCCTACTCGTCTTCTACAAATAGGGTTTCCCTTTGATCACACAGTGCCAACCACCTCAGCCTCTTCTGCGCTGATCATTAGGCAGCCTATAGAAGTGCAGGGTTCAGGGTCATGATTGTGAGGGGCGGCATCCTAAATTATTTTTATGGCTTCGCACACCCAATATTGGAGTCCAATGTTTTTAATGGTCCAGCAAAGTCCCCTTATAGTATCTATAAAATGGAGCTGTGCTGCAGTGATTCTGATCTGAAATTTAAACTGGAAACAGGTGCAAAGGCATCTACAACTACGAATTGAAGCCCAAGGGAAATACCTACAGGCAGTTTTGGAGCAGGCACAAGAGACACTTGGAAAACAGAATTTGGGTCCTGCAAACCTGGAAGATGCAAAAATAAAAATATCAGAGTTAGTTTCACAAGTATCAACTGAATGCTTCAGTAATACGATTACAGATGTAAAAGGAAGTTCAAGTGTGCATAGATTAGAGCCCAGACAAATCCAGTTTGTTGAGAGTTCAACAAATAGTTATTTGTCTGTGGCTGAAGGATTCATCAAGGAGCACAGACTACAGCACCATGGAGTACTAAAAGCATATGATGATAGTTCATTATTTTGCAGAAAAAGATCGCATGAACATGAGACCCAGTTTGCCCTTAACAGAAGCCTAAGTGAGCGTAGGATGGCTCATTTGCAGAATGAGGAAGGATACAGTAAAGCAGAGTTTGGGTATGAAAGTGACACAGAGATGGCACATGGGTATAATGCACCCCAAAAGAATGGTGGAGGTAGCACCACCAGTTCGGCATCAGGAAGCAAAGTAGATGCAGAGAAGCTATATCTGGAAGAACAAAACTGCGCAAGACAGGCAGTTGAATACCCCAGAGAAAGCAAGCTAGTAGATTTTGAGCATCCGTGCTCAGGGAAGAAACTTGATCTGAACACCCACAATGTCGATGACACTGATCAAGCTTACAGACATTTTGACTTGAATGGCTTCAGCTGGAGCTGATAATATGTAAGATGATAGAAGTGAAGAAATGAAGTTACAAATAATTTCTTCCAACGTTGAAGTATTGATACATGATCAAATGTACGTCACGAGGTATCATTTATGTTTTTAGGTATTTAGTATAGGGTACAGAAATGGTATTCACTTTGGGGCTTTGGGCCATCAGCAGTTTACTCAAAACTCAAGGAAAATAACAATACATAAACAGTATACGTAAGAAACCAGACAAATAGCATCAACGAAATTAGAGTCCATAAGATACAGAACACTATGATGAGTAGATAATAGCAACAATGTGAACAGTGGCATTATTAAGAAACCAAGAGAAACAAATGTAGGAATATTCATCAACATAAAGAGCACACTATTTTTCCAAGGTCAAGCAGTGAAAAAAGAAGGACCAGAAAGAAACGCGTCATCTCAAGTAGCATTGCAAAATCAATCTACTGGCACAAACTATGTGTGAGTGTGACATTCGAGACCTAACATTCTAAACTCTTAGTTCAGAACAGCTTGAAACAAACAGGGGAGATTATACATCAGTACAGATGGATTACTGCTACCCCTATAGCTAACATTTTAGATAAGAAGCGTCCATTAGTACAATAGGACTATATGAATGAAAGCAATTTCTCCAAACAGCCATCCCCCATAGTAGTTAGTAGTCATTTCCTAGTAACACGGCAAAACCAGCATAGTATTGGATAAGTAGAACATTAACTAACAAGATATGGTCATTTAGATGATATAGCAAGTTTTTAATTAAGAAAGAAAAAAGGATTTGTCTCTGCTGCGCTTATTTATATACCCAATAGGCAACAACCACTTATTGCATAATCCACTGATGACATTGTATCTACCTCCACAATTATTCCTCTCCGTGAGCACATTATGCTTCCTACAAGAGACTAGAATAGCAGGGAACTGTAATACTATCATGTACGTAGAAACTGTAGTTATCTGAGATGGAGCAGTCACGCTAATTATTCGCTCATTATTTCGCCATGGGAGGAGGAGAGCCTTCATCTGTTTGTTCATGGCCTCCCTACTTCTTCATCCGGCGCACCTTCTTAACGCCCCAGACCTCCACCCTCTCTTTTGGGCAACCGCACAGCGCACGGAAGATAAGCACGGTACGGCCGTTGGGCGGCGCCATCTTCCTGAGCACCAACTCAAGCTCCCGATGCTCGTCCCCAAGCCCCGCCACTGGCCACATGGCCGCGGCCCCGCCTCCTACACCGTGCGCAAGCGGCAGCAGGCCGCGCACGCACTCCTCCGTCTCGAGCTGGATGTCGTACTCCACGGCCTTGCGCAGGCCACGGCACCGGGGCCTGCCGCACCGGCGCGCTCGGTGCGACGCGGCGTCCCACGCCAGCACGGCGGCCCCAGCCGCCACGCCCGCGGCCAGTGGCACGCACGGCGCCGCCGGGTGGCGCGTCGCCACCGTGGCCACCGCGTCCCGCGCCTCAACAGCCAGGAGTCGCGCGTAGGGCGCTGCGAGGAACGCAATAGCGGCGAGCGAGGCGAGGAGCGCAAGCGCGTCGACCGCGGCGAGCGCGGAGTGGTCGCAGAGGGCGGGGAATAGCCGGCCCCGCGATCGCGACCGCGAGGTGGAGGTGGAGGAGGAGGAGGAGGAGAGGGACGCGCGGCGGGGGCGCAGGGAGGAAGGGTCCGAGGAGGAGGCGCGGCGCCGGTTGTGCTCGAAGGCCCGGAGGAACTCGATGAGGCTGCGGCAGTCCGCCATGGCGAGGCGGGTGGGTCGGCAGGGTGGAGCCGAAATGGACTCGGAATTTGGGATCCGCGGATCTGAGACTCTGAGAGTGGGGTGGGGTGGGGCGGGGCGGGAGCCGAGACGAGCTGGTTGGGATCGGATCGGTGGTCGCGTTAGCGCGGTGCCGCGCGTCGTCGGCGGCAGCGTTTGCGTGGTGCCGTGGTTTTTCTGTTTGGCGCGGCGGGCGGTTGGTCTTGTCGCGGTCGCGGTCGCCGCCCGCGTGGCGTCTGCTGGAGCGGAAAGGAAATGGCCCCGATGTTCCTGTTGTCTACAGTCGGGAAATTACGTTTCGCAAAATCCTTAAAAATGTCACCTCAGTAAATGTCACCCTCTTGATTGAAGAGGACAGTAAAAAGCTAGTACTGCACAGAGTAAAAGATAGGTATAGTCAAACATTAAATATACAGATTAATTAATTAGTCAAAAACTCAAAATTATATTTATCTTTAGTACACAAAAGATGTGCATTACTTTATGTGCCTTTCAGTGAGAGGTTACTCTCTCCATGATAGAAGACGTCGTAAGAAATGTTCCATTGTTTAAGGATAAAAGACTTGAATAGTCATATAAACCCATCATAACAGATGTTGTCCATTTGATGGGAAGTTGTCCATTTGAGACCTTGTTTGGATCAAAGGAATTTCAAAGGAAATTCATAGGAATCTATTCCTTTGGAAATGTTTTCAAAAATGATGTTCGGAATGAAGGAAACTTCAACAGTAAAAATACTTTGCTGGTGTGTGTTGTGACAGAAAGCACAACATTAAATGAAAATAGGCATTTTCTGAAATTCAACCAACTTCACAAAACCAGTCAGAACGTGGAACCTCCGGGCCTGAGTGTGGAGGTTCCGGGGCTAAGTGTGGAACCTTCGGGATCAGAGTATGTAAACGATCTACAACGGAATTTAACGAATGAAAATAGATCGAATGTGATATCAGTCTTCCTAGGGAGTTTGTTGAGCTATCCAATCGGTTGGCTGCACCTAGAAGATAGGAAACTCGTAGATCGGATGCAAACCCTAAAAATCAATTCAAATCACGAGTAATAGCAATAACAAACACAATCACAAGAGACACGAGGATTTATCCCGTGGTTCAACTCGCCACAAAGGCTTGTCTACGTCCACGTTATTGAGGTTAGGCATAAATGCTATAGAGTCTCTTTCAACACATTGCTCTTCTCCAACCTATCACCAAGGCAATAGATTGGAGGGTTCAACTAAGTCACAAAAGGGTAATACAAACGTCCTGATGCTCAGCCACAAAGGATTGGGAGCTCCCGGGCGACCGCTAGCCGTCTAGGAGCCAAGCTCCAAGAGTAACAAACACACCAAGCGACTAGAGCTTTACCAAGTGCACAAGAACGGAGAAGGATTTTCTTGAGCTTTCTCACACTCTCTAGAGCCAAATCCCTTAAGGAATCACGGAGATCTTAAGCAAGGAAGTTGGGAGCACTAAGCTTGGAGAGAGAAATAGCTTCAGTTGGAGTCTGAGTGAGTGAGGTTGAAGATGATCGTTGGGGCGAAGGGGTGAGGTATAAATACCCCCCACATCACCCACAAAATGGTCAAGTCAGACAGACCATAGAGCCTCCGCGTCAGGTCACGTAGGTTCCGCGCAGGACAGAGTAGATAAGAATTCAGCTCGGCTGGCTTTTTGTGGCTGGGATTATTTGAGATGTAGATGGAGTTTTAAGCACTTGGTTCCACCCAGCATACCATTAGTACCCCTTGATAGTACGGCTTGTCCTATAACTCAATTTCAAAATATAAAAGGAAGTAAACTAGCTCTTTGAGCCTTTACAATCCATCCAGTTGAATTTGGGGGTCTCCTCCTTTGTTTGTATGCACCCATGACTAATGATACACTATCAATCACTTAGAGAAGCCATTAGTCCTTTAATTTTGTCATCAACATCACCAAAACCCACTTAGGGCTTGATTGCACTTGCAATCTCCCCCTTTTTGGTAAATGTTGACAGCACAATTAAAGCTTACATTTAATTTAAAGATTGAGCTTTTGATAGCATGAATACAAGAGCTCCCTCTTAATATATGCAAAATTAATTTGAATCTAGACAAATGTCCCCTCAAGACATGCATTGCATATATTAAGAGCAAATGCGAATGAATCATTGTATTCATGCCATCGTGGGGTGCAACAGATCTCTGTCAAATAATATCCGTGATGAATATGATAGTTTAAGCACAGAATGAAAACTTTCTAACTCTACAGACCGCGGAGCCTCTGGGCTTGGGCGCGGATCCTCCGCATTCTGCACATTCAGAACATTTTCAGCAGAAAGTAAAGCAACATAGAATCATAAACAATCACCACACAGATCTACACATGCTAGTAATAGATAAAGATTAAGCAGTTCCAGCAACCTATTACAGGCATTCAAGTTCTCATCCATGTCCATGACCACAAATCGCCACACAAGGGCGAAACAAAGAGTTATTACAGACCACAAAGTTAAAGAGAGTTTGAAAAATGACCTTCAACTCTCGCAACTCACACTAAGCGTCTCAAAGCTACCATGACGACACTAGGCGATCCACGAGCTCAAAAGACATCTCAATCTTGCCTCTCTCTCCCCCTTTGTCAACAGGTGCCAAAAAGGGAAAAAGAACAAGGGAGGCAAAGCACTAGCTCACTGATCCCTGCTCCAGTCACTGTCACTATCATCTGCAGGATCGGTCTGCCTCTTGCCACTGGAAACTGTCCTCTCTCCAGACTCATCATCACTGTCACTCATAACAGCCCTACCAACCCTATGAGTAGTCGTCGTGTGCCTCTGGGGCCTAGACTGTCCTCTCTCACGTCTGAGGGTACTCATCCTCTCTGCAAGTGTCTCTTGGTCATGTGGAAGCTCCATCTCTTCCTCATCTTCACTAGTGTCCTCATAGGGTGGAAAGACTGGAGGTGGTGGAATCTCTCTAACCTCAAGTCCTATCTGCCTCTTCATGTCATTTATATCTTTTCTTCCCTCATAGGTAGCATCCACAACATACCGACACATGCAAAACATGTTCTTGAGCAACTCCTTGAGCTTGCTCCCCTTGGACCTATGGTGGGAAGAGGAAGGCCTACTACTGCTAGCTATGTGAGTGGGTCTAACCTCTGCTGCAACTGAAGTGCCTGCTACCCCAACTAGTGCCTCCCATCCTGTATGCTGCCACTGAGTCAACTTGTATGGCCTATGCTCCACGTCCTTCTTGAATTCA